GGGGGAGCCGCCGGCTGCGGCACCGCTCTGCGGGCGCCCTCCGCTCCCCCCATTGCTTTTCCAGCAAAGCCGGGGAAGGCAGCTACCCCAGCATGGCCAGGACCTGTCTTAAGGCCGGGAGAGAGAGAGGCGGGATGAAGTTCTCTTTTGTCCAACACGCGCTCAGACCTTTTAAAACAAATTTGGTTTTTATTGAGCCACAAAATTTGTTTTAGTGTACTTTTCTAGTTAAAATCGTTAGGAATGCATTTTTGGCCTTCAGGTTGTCTGCGTCTCGCACCAAACTGAACCCTCAGGTCGGGTTAAGCCGGGGTGTGCGGGAAGGATGCGGAAGCGGCCACGGGAGGACTCGCCTTTCAGGCCACACAGCCCGCACAGGGCGGCGAACGCCGTGGACTCCATTTCAGTGTTCCTCATGCCGGCATCATAAGCTCTTTTTAAGTACTCTAACTTTTTTTCACTGGAAAAAGAGCGCAGTGCTCCGTCTAATCTCCCCTGACCTTGAAAGGAGGCAGACAGGTGTCACTGCTGGCTCTGTGTGGGTTTACAGTCACGGCGAACGCGGCATAGTTCCAAATGGAAAGTCCAGCAGTGCCTACGTTTGTCTGAAGCTGACCGAGCGTTCCTCTGAATACTTACCTAACTCATATTAACCTCAGTGTTTAAAGCCAGCGCACTATGTCTCTCTATAGAGGAGAAGATTACACAGGTTTTAACATTTGTAAAAAGGATGAGTAAGCCCAGAGGTGTTAAGTACAGGGGGATATTGCACTCTGCAGGGAGAAGTCATCGCAGCTCCTCTGAGGTGCATGGCACACATCAGCTGAGAAGGTCCGCCAGGTTAAGTCCAAAAAATGCCAAACTACCGTGGAAGTTGTGAATAGCAAGCTGTGCAGAACGGGAAAAGTGGGGAGAGGAAAACCTCCTTAACTGAGGTTTAATTTTTCTTAAGGGGCTGCCATGGATGGCAGGCAGCTGGAGCCACTTGCGAGTGGCGTTTGCTGCTCGGGTGGCGTCGGTGCTGACTGGGGACCTGGGTCCCAGGGCACCAGGGCTCCCTCCCGCTCTCACCACAGCCCCGGGGCATCAGCGCAGGCGGGACCTGATGCCGTGCTCAGCGCGTCCAGGTGCAGGCGCCCATCCCGACCCCTCCTCTAACCCCGCTGGGGGCTTTGGCTGGCCGGCAGCCGCACCTGGGTCCACAGAGCAGACCCGTGCCCGGTGCAGCTACTCCTCTCGCACAGTATGTAAAGTCCTTGATGCAAGCAAGTGCATACCTGCAGCTGTGCTAACCTGGGCGGAGTGCTTCGTTTCATTGCTGTTCCTACTGTTAATCCTCTCAAATGGCTTTTTGTTTAAATAAAACATGGCCTTGAGCAATACACAGATGGTCGCATTTGCAAGCAGATCCAAAGGTTTATAAATAGTCCTCAGATTATTAATTCCTCATTTATTACATTTCATCTACTCTGCAATCAGCATTTAATTTTGCAAAGGAAATGGTTCCAGAGTAACCAAAGTTTGTTTACATAAATGTCACATGCTTCCTGACATTCTTCTAGTGTTTGGCAGTTCTGAAGTTACGATCTCGTCGTATGAAACAACTCAGCGTAACCCAGCTGCTAGGCTCGCTGCAGGAGTGCGGATGAGGGGCTGTTTTCTTTGCCAAGGTGCAGCTAAGGCCTCCCGCTTTCGGAGGGTCTGCGACCGCGCACGGCTCCCACGTAACGGCTGGACCGGGGGCGGCAGAGGCCCCCAGGTATCTGCATCGTCCCAGGGAGCAACCTCTGCGGGGTGGATCTTCAATCTTGATCCGCCATCAGCTACAGCAGCGCTGGCCTTGCAGGGGACGTTACAAAATTTAACTGTCAGATGCACAAGAGACCAATATTAACAGAGGTTAAGTCTTGCCCTGGCAAAGTGCTGAAATTGGCATTGCGTGTTCTGAAGGCGAACCCTGCTCTGACCGCTGAACGAGCTCTAATGTATCAGGTGGGTCTGCCCCTGCAGCCCTCTTAGGCTTTGGTCGTGTGGATAGTTTTGCCTACGTAAGAGTGTGAAGACTTGGTATTATGTTTGGGGGGAGGAAGGGCAGTCAAAGATCGTTTTACCTTCGTAAAAGTCATAGGTGCACATGGTACGGCCAACGAGCGTGGGAAAGTCAGAAACCTCCTTGCTGCAGGCTAGTAGTTCCTTCATGAGGTCCCTGTCCTGCTCAGTGTTCCGCACCACCACGTCATCCAGCACCACCTGCTCAAACCGTAGCTTGAAAGAGGAGTCCACCGCCACGTCCACGATCACAACAGACTCAGCCTCGATCCCTGTGAAAGCGAAAGCTGAGACTAAGCCAGAACTCGTAACATTTGTGATCCGCTGCAAAACTTTAGCATGACAGGAAAATCTCTATAGATGTTACGTGTGACTGTGGGGTCGTTCTTTTTGGTGAGTAAAACAGATGTGAGAGAATAATTGAAATTCATGCAGTAGCACAGATGTACAAGTAAAATGTACAGAATCAGCACACGATGAGTGATTGTGGGAACGTACTGAGCGACAGAGCTTTTATTGCTTCTGGCTCGCAGAGATGATGCCCCACCACCAGCGTGTGCAGGCACGAGCAGCACCACTGCCCTGGCCGGGGTCCCACCAGCACAGAGGACTACAGGCACCAGGACAGCTGGGAGGATCTCAAAGCATGAGAGAGACTTCCAGTCAAGTGTTCTCTGTTTGGAAAGTGATACCCAGTTGTTGTGAATTCAAAGCCTTTGTTCATTATGCCAATGTGCTTTCTGCTAAGCCGGTTGCTAGATGTTTGCTGGGTTTTAACACCCCCCCCCAAAAAAAAAGTCATGCTGTTTGATATTTGGAGACTTGACAAAATGCTAAAGCTCATAATTGCATGACCTATTGCTGAGAATTTTTTTTATTAATAGATTTTTTGCTCTGAAGAAAGACCATGGATAGCTTACCTAAGCCTCCAGAAGTACCAATGCATATAATAGTAACATCTTGGCATTTTGCATGGTGCAGCAGTTTGATTAGTTCATGAAGCATGATGGAAATGGAAGGGATGCCCATCCCGTGCTGTCGGGAGGAGAGAAAAGACCAATGTCATTCCCTGTGATGCTGTGGCAGGTAACAGGTATGTGACTGCAACCAGCTCAGGGTTACACTGCGGCCTCTTTCCGCTGATGAGGCCAACAGCGATTTTTTTGAGGGGGGAGGAGACATCTCGGGGTCTTTGTAGCCTGTCCAGGTAAAGCATCTAACCCTATTCTTCTCCCCTTGATACTTTTAAGGCTCTTCTTATCAACAGAGCTGATGTCACCCCTGGGGACCAGTATGTCAGGCACGCAGATGGTGTCTCTCCTTCAAGAAAGGTTTCTCCACAAACGCATCCCAACAGCTGAATGCTCCAAGACCTGCCCCTTGTGTTGCCCGTCCTTACACCAAACGCTGACTTCCATTCTTTGTTGTGTCCTGCTCGTACTCTTGGAGTGGTGAGTTTCAATGAGGACAAGCTGAGCTTCTGCTTCTCCGGGTGCCTCCCAGCCCGTCCTCGCCCCATGCCGGAGCACCTCCGCCCGCATCGCTGGGCACAGAAGATGACAGATGGGTTCATGCCCCTCGGTGAGGACCAGTTTTGGGGTCAGGCTTTTGCTGCGTGAAGCCTCACGTCTTGCAGGCCACCTGTCCTGTGTCCTGGCTCACATCACCGACCCTGGTGTCCCTCCATCCCCAGTGCCCACCTGGCTGCCCACAGGCTCTCCCCTCTGCTGGCACCGGCCCGTTCCCCATCGTCCCGCTGCCCCGTCCCCGCTCCTCTGGGCTGGCAGATGTTTTGCAAATCTTGAGCTGTTGAGGCTGCCTCTGCTTTCTGCCCAGCGCTCCCTGACGCAGTCATCTGTTTTCTGCTCCATCTCTCAACTGACGTCCTCTTCTCAGCTTTATGTTTATAAACAAAAGGTATTTGGCGGTGTGGAGTTTGGTTTTTTCCCATGAAAAATGCTTCACATTTTTTTGGTTTTGCTATCGTGTTCAAAAACCTGAAGGAAGCACATGTAAAGAAGCACGGTTAATTTAACGTATGCAGTCAGTTTTCGTATTGCTTTGTCTGTTCTCATTTGGCTGTGAGACTGGCGGTCTATTAGGCTGTATCATGTTTTAAATATGAAAACTTTTTGCATGTTGTTATTCTGGAACATCAGCCTGACTTATTTGCCAATGCCTAAAAAATTTATTCTCATTGTAAATATTCAAAGCAGGAAACTGTGTTCCTGCCTCCGGTATGTTTGAGTTCATTTGTGTTTCTAAGCAACTTGCAAAAATGTGATGTTGGCAGCTGCTCTGCACGAAGCGTTTTGGGGGAGGCTCGCTGCGTGCTCTGCCCTGTGTCCCCCCACAGGGATGAGCCCGGGGGTCGATGGCTTCTTCGTTGGTGCAAAACCTGTGCATGGCCAAGAGCTCAGTGTAGGCTGTTCTAGCTGTGTCACAATTGCTGCCAGACTGGGGAATAACAAAACTTGTGGTTTTTTTTCCCCTTGAATCCTGTCAGATTGATTCCCTCAGGCTTTTCCGTCCGTCAGGTTTGGTTTGGTTTGGTTTGGTTTTGTCAGAGGGACCAAACGTGAGCTCTGTCATGAGTGATGCTCCTATGAATCAGGTTTAAGACTAATCTTGTGCCTGAAGAAATGATGGCAGGACCGAGCCTTGTGGTATGAGCAGTCACCAGCACAGCCTGTATTTGCTCTTTCCTTTGTGCAGTGCCAAGAATTCTGCTCTTAAAGAATAATTAACAATAAAGCAAGGTTTTTACTTTAGAGCTCATGTCAATGTAATACTTCCAGCAATATTTCATAGTTCATGCGTGGTGAGAAGTGGTCTTCGCCTCTCAAATTGCTGGACTGCTCAGCAGAGCAAAATACGTGCATGTTCATTTCTAATACAACGCTTTTTAAATGGAACATGTAGGGTGCTGAGAAATAGCATTCAAACAGAACAACCTTTACTGTGGCTGAAAGGTTGTGCTGGTGGTAATGGCTGAAAACTGAAAAGAGGAAAAAAAATCTGCTGGTGGGTGTTGTGGGAGGGAGAGGCCGTGCCAGCCACCTTCCCTGCTGCCAGGGCAGAGGGGGCCCCCACGCCAGCCCACGGCGGGTCCACGCCGGCAGCAGCAGACCCCGGGGCAGGGGCAGCCGTGAGTGCCCGGGATGGAAAACGCGTGCGGTGCGGTACCTGCGCTGGTGGAGAGCACCGGCCCAGCCCGGTACGTGGCATACGGGTCCGTCCCCGCACAGGTGTCGGCCAGGTCCTCCCCGTCGCTCGCCGGTCCCAGCACCTTGTGCATGAACTGGGCAAGTGCCCTCATCCTGTTTGGGCTGCCGCCAGCGGAGACAAACTGGATGTAAAATATGAATGTGTTGGTACTTTTTGGCTAAAATAGGTACCAAGATTCAGTCTTAATGTGGCAGCGGCAGGGTGTGCCCGA